CCATAATTCTGAATTGTCTTCATCAATTCGCCTATTGAAACTTTCGGATTTCCTAGTATAAATGCCAAGTCATCGGCAAATGCCTGTAGCTTAAATTCCTCTCCTTTTATCCTCAGGCCCTCTATCTGTGTATTCCGTCTTACGTCCTCATTCAATGACTCTATCGTATATATAAAAAGTAGCGGTGACAACGGGCATCCCTGCCTAGTGCCTTTCTGTATCTCTATTATTTCAGTTACATCTCCATTTATTATAACCTTCGCATATTGCTTTTTATATATAGTTCTGTGTTGTAGTATTCTTGTCCAGAGTCAGCATTATCTAGTTTTTGCAATAGAAAATCCCACGACAAATTGTCGAATGATTTTTCTGCGTCTAAGAACATTAGCATTAGCTCTTTTTCCGGGTGTTCTTCATAATATTCTAGGACGTCCATGATTACCCTCATATTATTTCTCATTTGTCTTTTGGGTAGAAAGCCATTTTGGTCTTGATGTATTATCTGTGTCAGAACTCTTTTTAGTCTTCCTGCCAATATTGATGCAAAGATCTTGTAGTCAACATTGAGAAGCGATATGGGTCTATAGTTCTTAATATCGCTTAGATCTGTATTTGGTTTCCGAATTAGTGTAATTAGGGCATGGTTCCAGGATTCTGGTATCTTACTATATTTGCCAACTCTTTGACACAGTTCTTTGAATGGTGCCCATAGCTGTTCTTCAAAAACCTGGTAGAATTCTGCCGGGATCCCATCTGGGCCCGGTGTTTTTTTCTTTTTCTGTCTTTTGATTGCCTCTACAATTTCACACATAGTTATTGGATCATTTAGCGTTTTTTTCTGTTGAGCGTTAAATTTTTGTACTCTATTCTTTAAATATTCTGAAATTTCAACTTCTCTTTGTACATCTTGTTGATATAGTTCCTTATAGAATTTTTCCACTATCCTCTTTAAATCCTGCAAATTAAATTTTTCCTCATTATTATCATTTCTTAATTTAATTATGGTGCGTTTTTCCCTTTCTTTCTTTACCTTGTAGGCTAGCCACCTATTTGGCTTATTTATATTTTCAAAATAGTATTGTTTAGTATATTCTATTTTTCTCCCTAATTCATAATTTAGCAAATTATTTAGATTATGGTGTAAGAGGTTTAATTTTGCTTTCGCACTTCCATTTTCTCTTGATCTTTTTACTATGGTTTCTTGTTGTTTGATATGTTTAACTAATTGATCATATTTCTCCTTCTTTTGTTTAACTTTCCATGCATTGTAACTGATGAAGCGTCCTCTTATATACGCCTTGAATGCATCCCATATTATTTCTGGTGGTATCTCAGTGGGGCGATTTAGCTGGAAAAATTCTTGAATTACACTTTTACATCTTTGTATAAAGGCTGAGTCTCTAAGCAAAGTTGTATTTATTGACATTCTATTTTTTTTGGGACCTTCTCTTATCGATACCGATACAGGATTATGGTCCGCAAACGTTTTTGGTAATATTTCTCTCTCCATCACTTCCCTGATCATACTTGTTGACATCGATATCATGTCAATTCTTGACCAAGAGTCGTGACGGGTGGAGTGGAACGTGAAGTCTGCTTTATTTATATTTCTCACTCTCCATATGTCCATTAAACTATGTTCTTCTATTATGTGTATGAAACTACTTGGTAAAGTTCCTGTCTTATGAGCTTTCCTAGAACTTTTTCTATCCATTGCAGAATCTGTCACAGAATTAAAATCTCCCAGAATACATATGACTTCAACTTCCGTTGCTCTTAGCACTTTTTGTACTTCTTTAAAGAATTCACCCTGGTTTTGGTTAGGTGCATATATATTAATTATTAGCATTTTCTTTCCCCCCTATATTTTTGATATAATTGATTAGAAGGAAGGAAACTTTGTGCCACCATATATTCTAGTACAGGAGCCCAGATGCATACAAATTTGGAGTAGATTGGAATAGCAGAATTATGTGATCTATTTATACTGTCCGTTATTTTGGCCATTATAAAGTGATCCCAGATTTTATCTTTCCAAGCGAGTCGTCGTGTCGGAGGGGAGGAAGATTTCCAGGCTGCCGCGATAGTCAATCTGGCCGTTGCCAACAATGTTGCTATAAGATTTTTAGTAACGCTTCGCATCGGGATGTTCCATAAATTTAATAAAGTTATTTCTGGTGTGCATGGGAGTGATAAGGGGCATATTTTGAAGTAAAGAAGGGCCAAACTGACGCCTGAATCATTCCTGTGTAGGCAGTCGTGTAAGTGAAGGGCTCTTTTGCCCCCTCATCCTTGGACTTACCAGGGGCAGAAGGTTTGGTAGGATTCTCCATTCTGCTGCTCACCCACCTACCACCATTTTGGCTGGTGCATGGGAATCGTCAGCTGAAGGGCACGATTGGGGGATAAGGTTACAGTTCGTTCTGGAGAGGAGAAGGTTAAAGAGTCTGTTGCCCATGTCTGAGAGCAAGCTGGATGGGGAACTCTGCCAAAGGGCCCTGCTGACCACCCTGGAGGAGAGCCATTTGCTGGTGACTCGATGAGGAGGTTAAAGGGCTCTTTGCCTGTGTCTGAGAGCAAAACCCTGCCAGGCTCTCTGCTGATCACAGAAGGGAGGGGAGCCCTTTGCCCAATTTAGTAGTCTGTGTGATGGAAAGGAACTGAAGGGTTTGACCAAGGGGAGTTCTTGGTGGAAGGTTTTGTGGTGGGGTGGTGGTGGTGGATGGGAAGTTCCTGAGGGTTTCCTGAGCCTTGTCTCTCTGATGACACCCCCCCCACCACCTAGTAGGAGGTGAAGACCACATCTCTCGCAGGAGAACCAGAAGTGAGAGTCGCTTGTGGGTTGTTACCTAGTGAGGGGAAGAGAAGAAGAGATTGGATTCGTACCCCACCCTTCACTAGCCCGAAGGAGTCTCAGAGCGGCTTACAAACTCCTTCCCCTTCCCCTCCCCCTCCCCACAACAAACACCCTGCAAGGTAGGTGGGGCTGAGAGAGCTCTCTTGAGAACTGCTCTTTCAAGAACAGCTCTGACAGAACTATGGCTTGCCCAAGGTCATCCAGCAGGTGCAAGTGGAGGAGGGGGGAATCAAACCCGGTTCTCCCAGATTAGAGTTCGTGCACGTAACCACTACACCAAGCGAGAAGGGCCTGGCCAGGTGGCTAAGGGCAGTGGCTGCTTCTTTGTCTTAGGAGAGGCTAGAGGGAGGCCACGAGACATTGGACAGAGGGGGGAGATTACCAAGGAGGATCAAGCCCACAGCTCGATGTCAATTGCTGATCCAGGTGTGATGGAGGAAATGGATGGTAAGACAACGATCTTGAGAGCCGGTTTGGTGTAGTGGTTAAAAGCGGCAGACTGTAATCTGGGAGAACCGGGTTTGATTCCCCACTCCTCCACTTGCAGCTACTGGTGTGACCTTGGGTCAGTCAAAGTTCTCTGAGAGCTGTTCTTGAAAGAGCAGCTTCTCTCAGAGCTCCCTCAGCCCCACCTACCTCACAGGGTGTCTGTTGTGGGGAGAAGAAGGGAATTCAGATTGTAGGCCGCTCTGAGACTCCGAGTGAAGGGCGGGGTACAAATTCAACTCTTCTTCTTCTTTTCTAAATCAATGCATGCAAATGTGTCATCCTCACCTGTGCATCTGCATCTTGGAGCAGACATTGGAGGTGGACTTGGAAGAGCCAGATACTGCACCAGGGCCAAATCAAGCCATGGCCACCAGTGCACAACTCCTCATGTGTCATATATTATGGAACCTTTACTGGATCCTGCACTGTGTGAGGAAGAGCTGGTCCACAGACGCTAAAGGGGGTATGGTGGATTTCTCTCTTGGTGACCGGTTCTTTTCAGGGGTAACTTGGAGGTTTCCTTGGCATTACGTTTGCGTTCTTGGGTTATGACTGTGATTTCACCCCTGTGCTCTGGTTTCTGGCTTCTCTACAGCATGAATGGCCACAGTGTGGCCCCACAGTCTGTGGTGCATTTTTACAGTGCCACAAAATACGCTGTCACGGCACTGACGGAAGGGCTACGGCAGGAACTCCGAGAGGCCAAGACCCACATCCGAGCCACGGTGAGTTTAGCTCAGAAAAAGGGCCAGCAGTTTGTGAGAACAGATCTGGAGAATAGAGGCTGGTAGGATTCTGCATGACACCCAAAGAGTGATTAAGATGTGGAATTTCCTGCCACAGGAAGTGGCGGCGGCTGCAAGCACAGACAGCTTCAAGAGGGGATTGGAGATACATGTGGAGCAGAGGTCCATCAGTGGCTATTAGCCACAAGGTATAGATGGAACAGTCTGTCTGGGGCAAGTGATGCTCTGTGTTTTTGGTGCTTGGGGGGGGGCAACAGTGGGAGGGCTTCTAGTGTCCTGGCCCCACTCCTGGCCCTCCTGATGGCACCTGGTGTTTCTGGCCACTGTGTGACACAGTGTTGGACTGGATGGGCCTTTGGCCTGAACCAACATGGCTTCTCTTATATTCTTATGTCTGGAGCAGTGATGCTCTGTGTTCTTGGTGCTTAGGGGGCCACAGTGGGAGGGCTTCTGGAGTTCTGGCCCTGCTGGTGAAGATCCTGATGGCATCTGGGTTTTGGCCACAGTGCGACACAGAGTGTTGGACTGGATGAGCCGCTGGCCTTATCCAACATGGCTTCTCTTATATTCTTTTACCCTAAATCCTGAAACAAGAACAGACCTGTTAATAGGCTGTAACAGGGTTTCCTAAACTGCTGACAGTGGTGGTACACTTCCCCCCCCTGAATTAAAATTGCAGATATACTTCAGTCTTTACTCCTAACGAGGTATGAAAGGGTAAGAATGAGTCTCCTTTTGTCTCTGCATGAGTCATTGTTTGAAATGCAACTCCCAATTGGAAGAAGCCCTCAACACTGGTTTATACAGAAGTGCCTCAGGCACCCTCCTGGGAAGGCAATTGAACAGTCCCCTCTGTAGAAGTGAGGCAGGATGATCCACCCCCTTTCACCAACCTGAAGAACCCCATTTAATTCCACACATGGTGCTGCTGCAAACCTTGATTTGCCCCAGAGCCTCCCAGAACCTTCTGCTGGCCATGAGGTCCAAGAGTCACACTCCACTACGAAGAAGAAGAGATTGGATTTATACCCCGCCCTTTGCTCGGAGTCTCAGAGTGGCTTACAAACGCCTTTCCTTTTCCATCCCCACAACAGACACCCTGTGAGGTAGGCAGGGCTGGGAGAGCTCTTTTGAGAACTGCTCTTGACAGAACAGCTCTGAGAGAACTATGGCTTGCCCAAGGTCATCCAGCAGCTGCAAGTGGAAGCGTGGGGAATCAAACCTGGTTCTCCCAGATTAGAGTCCGCACACTTAACCACTACACCAAAGTGGCTTTGGGATCCTGGATCCCAGTTTGAGAATCACGATGTTAATGCAGCATGGTCACAGTTTGGGAATTTACCCAGTTGCTTCGAAAGTGACCAGTTTCTTGAGCTTGGGGACCCGGACCCTTCTTGGTGGAGCTGCTCAGAGATGAACCTGTGCTGCGTGACTCCATTCGAAGCCCGCTGGTTTCAGTGCACCTACACCGAGGGGGCGCTGCACAGGATTGCACCACAAGTCCTCTGCACCATTTTCTCCCCCGTTCCTTCTAGCAGGCCACCTGGGAAAAGCCTCATGTTTAGACTCAGGCAGTTGACGGATGTTGCTTCTTTCAGGAAATGGGTCAGGGGTTCTGGTGCTGGTTGATATTTCTAGTGTTCTGTGGAACTCATTTGAGATGCTAACTGCCCCAAACCAGGCATCTGGTTCTCAAACCATAGAGATGGAGGGGTAGATTGACACCCTGACTGCAGCTGTAAAGAGCAACATCCCACGAGCGTTCCTGTTCTTTGCAGGCTGAAGGTCCCGGGTTCAGTGCCTGGCAGCTACAGTGAAAAGGCCCTTGGGTAGTGGGGCTAGGAAAGACCTCTGCCTGAGGCTTCAGAGAAGGAGAGCCCATAAGCAATGCTCCCTCTAAGCTGTGGAGTCCTGTGAGCAAAAATTCTACTTTGTGAGCGACTGGCATTAAAGTTGTAAGTGAGCGATCCGGCTGCTGCATACATCAGTTTGCTCTGGAGCCATCCTTCCTGAGTGAAGGTGAAAATGTGTGAGCCGGAGGCTACAAAACTGTGAGCTAGCTCACACCAACTCAGCTTAGAGGGAACACTGCCCATAAGAGTAGGCAATTCTGGGCTAGCTAGGCCACGGTTCTCCCGTGATGTAAGGCAGGCACCTTCGTATGTTGGGCCTGTTGTGAGGTCTTAGCCCACTGCCAGGACATGTACTTTGAAAGCCAGCGCCTTGGCCCCCCACACCTCCTGTCAAAGGATTTCAGGTGTCGGAGAGAGACCGTCCTCTGCTTGAGACCCTGGAGATCTCCTGCCAATCAGAGGAGACAGTACTAACTAGATGGACCAATGACCTGACTTGGTAGAAGACAGCTGTGCATGTCATTGACATCTAGTATCAGAATTTTAGGGTGTGTATCAGACAAGTCTCTTTTCTTCACTCTATGGAAATGAGAGGTGGTGGTCGAGCTGGAACGCCGGAGTGCAAAACAGAATCCTTGCTGGAAATTCTTTTCGCATTAGAGAATTCCAGTTTCTGGTGTGTTCAGCAGCCCAACGAGTTCCCCAGTCCCATTTTTTAAATCCATGTTGCTAGTTTCTTCCTCTGGATCAAGTCATTCTCTCTCCTGTCCCAAGAACCAGTGTAGCCTCAGGATAAAGAGACTGAGCAGCGAATCCCCGAGTCTCTGGATCAGATTGTGTCTGTGCTATGGACCCCACCCTCCTGGGTAGCCCCCCAGTGGTACTAGCACCAGATTATGTTAGAGGGCTGTTGTTAGAAGTGCAGCAAGACATGCATCGTGTTTCGGATGCTCAGATGCTGTTTTGGGGTGTGTGTGGGGAGGGGTTCTGAAAACCTTGCTAGAAACCTTTGTTTCCTTTGTGTTGGAAAAAGTTACAAATCCTGCCAGAATGCTGTTTTCTGTGTTCTCTCCCTCTTCTTAGTGCATATCTCCAGGACTGGTGGAGACTGGATTCGCTTTTAAACTCCACGATAGCGATCCGGAGAGAGCGGCTGCAACGTACGAGAGCATTCGAGTGGGTGGCCAAGCAAACCTGGAGGGGAAAACGAGACCGGTTTGAAGCCTCTTGGTTTAGCGATGAAGACCATGAGCTCATCTGCGGCGGAAGCGATTTGTCACGCTTCTGGGAAAGGGGCGGTGGCAAGGGGGACGGCTTCTTGTGGGGGAAAGTGTGGCTTCCCAATCAAAGTGGCTCTTCCAAAACATGCAGACGGTTGTTCCGGTTGCTGCAGCAGCTGGGTCAGCAGGAGGTTTGGGGAAAGGCCTGGGAAGGGACAAGCTTGGAACTGGGTTTGGAACACCCCCCGGTGACTTTGGCCCAGTTACTCTCTCTCTCTCAGCCTAACCCACCTCACAAGGTTGTTACAAGGGTAAAACAGAGGGAGGAACCATGAACACCTTCATGAACTCTTTGGGGGAAGGGTAGGATCAACATTTGACAGAGATTTGACAAAATGTGTAAGTTCAGCAGCCTGTCTTTAAAAGTGAGGGTTAACAGAGGAGGAGCAGAAAGGTATCTGAAGGTGGGTTTGGGTCAGGCGAGACTCTGGGCTCAAGTGGAGGTCTCCCCTGTGGCCCCGCCTTCACGACACGCGTGCCAATTCTCATTTTTCTCTCTCTCCAGTGTCTAAAAGCTGAGGATATGGCCAATGCTGTCCTCTATGTCCTCAGTGCTCCACCTCATGTACAGGTAGGCCTTTGTGAAAGTGTGCCTCTGGCTTCTGTATTTCGAGGGTGAGGGGGGAAGCTCCATTTCCTCTCCACTGGGCCTCGCGTTTGCTCAGTGGTGCCTGTAAGCCTTCACCTCAGATGCGTCATCAGGTGTAGGGATTATCTTTTCAATCTAGTTGATGGACCTCTCCAGCCGGTTTCTACACAACTCCCTCCAAAATGTGTGCTAAGGTTCAGAGAAAGTCTGACTTCTTGCTAGGTTTTTCTAGTGACTCTTAACACTTTTGGTGTGTTTGTGCTACCAGGGAGACTTCTCTCAGAGTCACGTGTCCTCTTTCCTAAAAACTGGAGCTAGGGAGCACCAAGCAGGGTCTCAGGTGGTCACCCAAAGTTCAGGAAATGACAAGAGTTGAATGAGCAGGTAGAAGCAGCCAAGCAAAAGTGTCAAGGCGATGGGCATTAGCAGGTACCATGTTGGGCAACACAGATCTCCAGTATTTGGGGGAGCTCCAGGTGGGAGTCTGTGCCTGGCAACGGCTTGCGAATATGTATTTGGAAGAATGTATGCATGGATATTTGCAAAGATATGCCGGCCCAGTTTAACAGCTGCCAAAACCCTTCCCCCTGGGTGCCGTTTGCTGGGGATTTAAATGTAAGAACACAGAAGAGCCCTCCTGGGTCGAGCAGACAGTCCACATTGTCTAATCCAGCATCCTGTTTGTAAAAGTAGCCAGCCAGATGCCTTGTCGGTAGCAAACAAACAGGGCATCAAGGGGACACCCTGCCCCCTCCCCATTTGTAACCTAACAATTGGTATTCAAAGGTACACTGCCTCTGAATGTGGAGGTCCCACTTAGCTATCATGACACAGTAACCATTCTGACATGAATTTGTCTCTTAAAGCCATCGCCTCTCACCACCCTTTGGGGCAGTGAGTTCCATCCTTTTAACTATATCCTGTATGTAGAAGAGTTGTCTTTCTTTCTGTCCTGAATCTACTGCTCAATAATTTCTTTAGTGAAACCCGGGATATGGTGTGATCAGTGGGGGAGGCGTGAAGGCAGTGCTGAAGCCGTGCTTTGTGGGTGCCACCCAATAGCTTTGAGTTGTAAGAGTAAAACATCCATGTTCAATGACAGTGTACCTTGGAATACCAATTGTTGGGTCACAAATCACTTTCTGTGACAGGGACCTCTAGGTATTGTTGGTGAGGATTTCTCACCAGGTCCGGTGTCTGGCAACAGACTATCTTCCAAGAGATCTACAGGGAGCCAGTTTGGTGTCGTGGTTAAGTGTGCGGACTCTAATCTGGGAGAACCACTTGCACCTGCTGATGTGACCTTGGGTCAGTCACAAGTTCTGGCACAGCTGTCCTTGAAAAAGAGCCATTTGTGTCACAGTTCTCTCAGCCCCGCCCACCCCACAGGGTGTCTGTTGTGAAGAGGGGGAGGGAAAGGAGTTTGTAAGCCGCTCTGAGACTCTTCCCTTTTTCGTAGATACCATTTCCAGTAGATTCAGGGGCTGTGAAACATGTAAAAGAGGGAGGTGTGGCAGCTGTCTCATGTAGTGGTTAGTGACAGTCAGACTGGGGAGCCCTGGATTCCGGTCGCCACTCAGCCATGACGATCTGACCAGTCACTGTCAGCTTAACCTACCTGACAGGGCTGTTGTGGTGATAAAATGGAAGGGAATCGTGTCTGTCTCCAGGAAGTCCAACCATTGGGCTATCAAGGTCAGGATTGTCAACCTGACTCACAGCGGCTCAGACCCAGGTGGAGGCCTTTCGCATCACCTCCTGCCCGAGATCCTTTGAACGGAGATCTCGGGGAACTTAATTTGGAGCCTTCTCCTTTGAGCGGGTGTGGTCTGCCACTGTGGTCTGCCAGAACCCTCCACAGCAGGATATTTCTGACCTCATGAAGTTGCTTTATACTGAGTCAGACTGGTTGATCTATGAAGATCAGTCAACTCTTACTCAGAGGTGTCAAACTTATTTGTTTTGAGGGCCGGATCTGACATAAGGGTCACCTTGTTGGGCTGGGCCATGTGGGCCATAAGATGTAATGCCAGGTACTGGAGATACAAACTTTATTAAGGACACAGGCAAACCCCATTAACAATATTATCATTTACTCAAAACACAAACACGCTTAAAACATAAAATACATACTTAAAACATTAACATTCTTACAGTATTTCCTTATAGTCTCTCCCTGATGCCTGCCTTTCCTATTCTACCGCCCATTATTCATTAGCACTGGGATGGTATACATCTGTCATCTGTATGGTATACATCTATCATCTGGCAGTAACAGTAATGACCAGTTGCTTGTGGGCTGCATAAAAGCCCTGGATGGGCCGGTTCTGGCTCACGGGACATAAGTCTGACACCCATGCTGGCAGCAGCTGTCCAGGGTCTCACCTCATGGTCTTTCACATCACCTGCTACCTGATCTTTTTAACTGGAGATGCCGGGGATTGAACTTGGGACCTTCTGCATGCCAAGCAGAGGCTCTACCACCGAGTCCTGGCCTCTCCCTCCATGAGCTCAGTGGAAGAAGAGATAGAGAGGCTTTATGAAAAGGAGGGCATTTTCACACACATTAAATAACACACTTTCAATCCACTTTCGATGCACTTTGCAACTGGATTTTACTGTGTGAAATGGCAAAGTCTGCTTGCAAATGGTTGCTGAAGTGGATTGAAACGGCATTATTGAGCACGTGTGAAAGCGCCCTGGAGTCACAGCGAGGGGAAATGTCAGTCGCCTTCCAGAGGGAGCATAAGTAGATGCAAATGTCTTGTTCGTTTATTCCATTTTGCCACATTGACTGTATTGGAAACTGGCTCTTCCAGATTGGCGATATCCAGATGAGGCCGACTGAGCAGCTCTCCTAGCAAACTAAGAAGATTAGCTGTTGGCGCAGTACAGGGAGAACGGCCTCCATCCGTCTAGGCGTTTCCCTCTGCTGACTGGTGACATTTTAAGGCCAGATATGAAGCGTTACTCCCCCCATTTCTCCTTTTTGAGCTGTTGTCAGACTTGTGGAAAGTAAAACAGAAAGCTTCGGTTGGTTGTGGGAAACCCCCTTCTGTCCCCAATGTGTTGCACGTCTTCAACGGCCAAAATTAATTTGAAAGCACCTGAAGAAGCTCGTCCCGGCGATACTGAATTACCTTTCTGGAGGACGTGGGGTCCTCACAGGTTTCAGGTGAGTCAAGATGACGTCGGAGGAGGGACCATCAAAGGCTAGCGCCTCGCTCTGTGTGTCCCACCACTTGGTTGTCGTAATTAAACCACGCCACGTGGACCGTCATTTCATTTTTGGCTGGCCGAAGCCATTGCAAGCCGCCGAACAGCCGGTTTCTGCATCTCTTCTTTTCAGCCACGGCTACAGAGACAGCCATGAAGAAAATTCCCCCCTGAGGATCTCAGAACTGCGGATTTGCCTTAAGATCTGCACAACAGGACTGTTGGTTGAATGTCTGTCATCCACCGACTTCTGTAATCTATGCTGTAAACTCTTACACTGGTTTTGTTCCACTGTTTTCTGTCGTGGCCTCCCCCCTCCCCCCCTGGAGAATGTTGGGAGGTGTCATTAGAATCGTCAGGCTGGGGCGGGGCTGCCAACTTCTTGGTGGGGCCTGGAGATCCCCCCGAATCGCAACTGATCTCCAAACTGCAGAGACCAGTCCCCCCCCCCCGGAGGAAACGGTTTGCTCACGAGGATGGGCTGTGGCAACCGTAGGCTGAGAATTCTGGGCGAGCAATCCCTAAGTCTTTCCCCACCGGAGGCCAAACTAGACGAGGCGTTAATCTGCAGCCTGTAGAGTTGGTTGATTTCATGAGCAGGGAAGGCTCAAGGGGGGGGGGGGCTTTGACTCTTTCCTTCACATGCGCCTCTGAAGGGGCAAGGAACTCTGTGGGGGGAGGGAGGAGATAAGTACCTGCTCCTGAACTTCTCTTCTCCCCTCCCACCCCAATAACTGGCTTACTGAGAGCCAGTCTGGTGTGGTGGTTAAGTGTCCGGACTCTAATCTGGGAGAACCGGGTTTGATTCCCCACTCCTCCACTTGCACCTGGCTGCATGACCTTGGCCAAGCTGTAGTTCTGATAAGAGCTGTTCTTGAAAAAGGGCAGTTTCTGTCAGAGCTCTCTCAGCCCCACCTGCCTCACAGGGTGTCTGTCGTGGGGAAGGGAAGGGAAAGAAGTTTGTAAGCCGCTCTGAGACTCCTCTGGGTAGTGAAGGGCGGGGTATAAATCCAGTCTCTTCTTCTCTTCTTCTTCTTACTGAAGCTGCAAGGAACTCTGGGGGGGGGGAGATAAATACCTGCTCCTGAACCCCACTTTTAAAAAAAAACGTTTGTGCCTGTGTCTCTGTCAGTGGAGAGGGAGGCCTAGTCCTACGCAGCAGAAGAAAGTGATAGAAGCAGGGGTCATATCCTGCAGGAGCGCACAGGAGCGGAGTTCCAGCAGTAAAGAGCCCAGGGGGCGGGCACATGCAACAAGCCCCACCCCCTACTCCCAGCAGCCCTCAGTCAGAGCAAGAAGCAGCCAAGTAAATTGCGGAGCCCCCCCGCCCCCCCGGGCCAAAACGGTCCAGTGGCACCTTTAAGACCAAGTTTTATTCAGGTACAAGCTCTCCCTTCTCTGCGAGGACAGATCTGCATGTTCCCCCCCCCTCCATAGCTAGCAATCCAAAACAGTCCAGTGGAGCCTGAGTGGTGGGTGGTGCCTTCTGACACACTTCCAGTGATGCCAGGGGGTGTGGCATATGCAAATAAGTTATGCTAATGAGTTATGCTAATGAGCTCCTGCACCTCTTTTTCTACGGAATGACCCCTGGATAGAAGAATGAGGTGATGGAAGTAGGGTTTCCAGGGGTGGGGATGCGCCGGGAGCTGTAAGCGTTGCCCCCAATGTCCCAATATCACTGGAAGTGATGTCGCATGTCACCCAGAAGTGACGTAGGCATGTCGGGGGTGACTAGGGCTGCCAGATCCCCCTAGGAAGGTGGAGGTTCCCCCACTCAAAGGGTCCGGATCAGGCCCGCGGGGGGAACTCCGCCCCCATCGAGCCAACGTGCCTGGCGCAATGACGTCACACGGAGGTGATGCGATGGCATTGGGCATATTGCAGGCTGACATTCTAGCAATCAGCCTGAAAACTCTATGGTACCATAGAGTTTCCAGGCTGATTGCTAGAGCATCAGGCTGCAACATGCCCAATGTGATGATGTCACTTCCACACATGTCCCGGGACAGGACCAATTATCCCCCGCTTTAAACCGTGAGTGACTTGGCAACCCTAGGGGTGACACACTAGATTTTGGGCAAAACTCTATGGTAAAATCTCCCTCAAACTATTGAGTTTTGCCCAAAAAACAGAGCATCACCCCCCTGACATCACCGACGTGCCCACATCACTAAATGCAAAAGGGTTTGTAATCCTTTCCCTAGCCCCTCCAGGGAGGAACACAAAACCATGAAAAAAAATAGCAGTCAGGAATATCCTTTTAATTACTTTATTGCGCAGTAAAGGGAGGCGAACTCAAATTAACATTCCAAACAACCTTTATTTTATTACCTATCTCGACCCCGAATTCCCTCCCCCGTTTCCTCATTGGCCAGAGTCCTCCTGAATCACAATCTGCCGTCCACCTAAAACATACCCACTCTTTAACATGACCCCCCCCATCATCATAGATTGCATGTTCATTGTAGTTCGCTTTTTAAGTATTCAAGGTGTGTCAGGTAATATTAATGGATTAATGAGGCATGCATATTTGTCATTGTCTATGTAAGTCAAGGCTATTCCTTGCAGTCTACAGTCTTCTACACCCCCCCCCCTTCCCATCTTATCTCTAGGTTTTGCTACTCTGCCTTATTCCTCAGGCAAATGTATAGTTTGGCTGTTGTTTACACACTTCTGGTTGCTTCCAGCTCATTTTGACTATTTCACTTCCCCCAGTGACATTGGCACGTTGCCTGACATTGCTCTTGGGGGGGGATTTCCTCCCACAGGTCAGCTGGCCGGCAGCAGGCAGGAGCCTAGAAAAGCAGGGGGGTCCCCTGCCCCGAACTGGGGAATGGTAACCCTAGATGGAACAGAGCAGGGGAAATTCCTGGAGATTTGGGGGGGGTGGAGCCTGGGGAGGGGGGGTTTGGGGAGGGGGAGGGGCTTTAGCAAGGTCTAATGCCACAGAGACCAATGCTCCCTCTAAGCCGTGGAGTCTTGTCAGCAAAAATCTTACTTTGTGAGCGACTGGCATTACAGTTGTGAGCGAGCAATTTTTGGCTGCTGCATCAATTAGTTTGCTCTGGAGCCAAGACAAAAATGTGTGAGCCAGAGGCTAAAAAACTGGGAGCTAGCTCACACTAACTCGGCTTAGAGGGAACACTGGCAGAGACCAACTTCCAAAGTTGCCATTTCCTCCAGGAGAATTGATCTCTGGAGGTCAACTGGAGACCAGTTGTGATTCCGTGCGACCTCCAGCCATCACCTAGGGGTTGGTAACCTTAGTCCCTGGCCTTTTCAAGTCTGTGGACACCATTGTAATTCTGATAAAGGATGCTGGGCACAACCACAAAATGGCTGCCATGGGACGCGGAGCCAACCACAATATGTCAGGGAGTGAAGTTAAAAATAACAGATCACACAGTCAAATCTACAGAAGCCAGAATACAACCATGTATGTAAGCGCTAATAAGGCAATACCAGATTAGCAACATAGAGTCACTGCATTAAATGTGTTACTGGTCTTCTGCAACTCTAAATTACTGTAACCTAACAAAGATTTGGATTGAACAGAGAAGCTGTCTTACGATTTTACATATTCTGAAACTGATGAGTCATGATATTTTGATATTCTGGAAGAAGGCTTTCTGAAACGAAGATCACAATCTGGAGACTTCGTCAATGAAATGGAATTTATGTAATATGAACTGATGCACAAACGAAAGATGTATTTGCTGAAAGAAAAAGCCACACATAAATGTTCATGGTTCCTTTATTACTTGAATGTTGTTATAATTTATTAGCGCTTACATACACGGTTGTATTCTGGCAGGGAGTGAAGTTATGCGTAACTCTAATAGTAACGCGTCAGTCTTTCTGGCAGGAGCTCTGTTTAACACGGTACCTTTTAAAACGAACGTATTTTTAAAACATGTTTACACGCAGATTCACACGGCAACACAGTGAAGATCCCTTGTGCTGTGCTGGCAGCGGTTGGTGAGCCACTTTTGAAAACTCTGCATGGCCCGTCTGATCTCCAGCGGCTCCGCTGGGCAAACGCCCCACTGGCCCTGCCCACTTTCTGAAAACAGTTGGCGGGCACCGTGTTGGGGACTGCTGGAACAGACCCTACTACCACAAAGTTCCCTCTGTATGAATAATTCCCTGTAAGTTGAAAATTGGCACAGCAAACAAAGGACTAGGCTAGAACCAAGGCTCCCTGTAAGCGGTGGAGTCTTGTGAGCAAACATTCTACTTTGTGAGCTCCTGGCATGAAAGTTGTGAGTGAGCGATTTGGCCGCTGCATAAATTAGTTTGTTCTGGAGCCCTCCTTCCTGAGCAAAGACAAAAAAGTGTGAGCCAGAGGCTTAAAAAATAAGCTAGCTCACACTAACTCTGCTTAGAGGGAACACTGGCTAGAACCTGTTAGCTTTGGGATCCACCACCACTCCATTTGGTGTAGTGGTTAGGAGCGCAGACTCTAATCTGGGAGAACTCGGTTTGATTCCCCACGCTTTCACTTGCAGCTGCAGGTGTGACCTTGGGTCAGTCACAAGTTCTCAGAGCAGTTCTCTCAGAGCTCTCAGCCCCACCTACCTCACAGGGTGTCTGTTGTGAGGCGGGGAAGGAAAAGGAGATTATAAACCACTCTGAGTGAAGGACAGGGTATAAATCCAATCTCTTTTGTCATTCCGCTGCACATCTGAACCATTTTGGACGGAGGGAAAGGTTGCTGCCTTGGCTACTGAACAGCCAAAAGCTCCCTTGGACCCTTTGAATGAGTTGATGGATGTTCCCTCACTGGAGCTGTGCCCAGTGTTCCCTCTAAGCTGAGTTAGTGTGAGCTAGCTCACAGTTTATTAGCCTCCGGCTCACAGATTTTTGTCTTCGCTCAGAGCAAACTGATTTATGCAGCAGCCAAATCACTCGCTCACAACTTTAATGCCAGTAGCTCACAAAGTAGAATATTTGCTCACAAGACTCCACAGCTTAGAAGGAGCATTGGCTGTGTCTAGCTAATAAATATAGCACACCTCACTGAATGGCAGGGAATGGGCTGCTAGAGTGGCGTTGCTGGTCACTGCTAAGGCACTGGCCAATAGGGGCTTGCCCACATAAAACCAGTAAACGTCTCCCAGTGATGTTCACATCATTACTTACAAAGTACTGAAAACTCTACCGAGCACTATCTGAAGAACCAAAACAGGCAGTTCTCCGGCCAGGATGCCATCGGATATAATGGAAAAGAAAGATGGAAGGGGAAAAGCACAACAGGTATCCAGGCGTCGGGTGGAGCAATAACCAGGTGGAACGCCCGTTGTGAACATCTGTTCTGGGACAACGATGGGCTGCCACAACCATCAAAACTGCCGCAGTAGCACAGACAGCTCTCCTACCTTAGCCCAGAGGAAGAGCCACTGAAGGGCCCTTA